CTTCTCCTCCTCCTCCTCCTCCTCCACCTCCTCCTCCTCCTCCTCCTCCTCCTCCTCCTCCTTCTCCTCCTCCTCCTCCTCCTCCTCCTCCTCCTCCTCCTCCTCCTCCTCCTCCTCCTCCTCCTCTCTGCCCGCGTCCTCCGAGGACCGGGTGCCGGCCATGTTACGGCCAGATGCGCCGTTCGTTCCCTTCCGTGCTCTAAGTGCGCCAGGGGGGAGGACTTTGTTTCCCTGGCCACGTCGGCGAGGCTTCCCGGCTTTGCTTTGTGAAGGACCTTTGGCTTCCCGCCATCAACTTTGCTCTGACCAATCGACCACACGGACGGGCGACTGGCGGGCTAGCGGCTGCTCCTAGATGCTCATCATGGGGGTATGCATGAGAAGATTGCGAAGACAGCCCTCCCTGTGGTGTGCGGGGTGTCTGCCATCCATCTCTCGGCAGTCTCCACAGCTCCACAGCTCCAGCAGCAGCACCTCCAGCGGAAATGCACACAGCGAGAGCCGGACGACAAGCGCCAACCCCTCGGCGTGAACCCCGGGGATACATGGGTATATGTCCCCTTCCCCCCCAAAATGACCCCCCCGCCCCCCCCCACGGACCCCCTCCCTCGGTGTTTGCCATCGGGGTTGGTTTTTTTTTCGTCGCTGGCAACGACATTGTTGTAAAACAAGCTCGGTTTTTTGTCTCTGTTTTTTTTTGTTTGGCGGTAACCATAATGGTGGTCGAGTAGATCATGTTGTGCGGGGTTGAGAACTCTCACTCCGCGCAAGGGGGATGATCGCACCGCGTTGTGATAAGTTGGTCAAGCACCCTCCAGGAAGTTACTACACAGTGCTTAAAACTGTCTCTGGAGGTGAAAGCACCAGAAAATAAATATGTTTAGTCATAGCTGTCGTCCGTACGCAAGGAAGTAAGCACAAGATGCCGAACACCCTTAGCAGGATGCAGCGCACACTTCACGCGACTCACCGAATATCTCACGGTGCTTCGCGCTTGGTGATGTGAGAGCCTGGTCCGGTGAGAACTCGGCGTGCTCCGTCCCGGCTTTGTAGGGATGCGAGGCCAATAATCTAACGACTACGGCATGTACGACGACTATCTATACTATGAGTACCTCCCCCCCACGGACCCCGATTTTCGATTAGTAGGCCTATCTATGTGTCTTGAATATGTTTTTCGCGCAGACCCCTGGTGCAACCAGCAATGGGGTCAGAGAATCATACACCAAAGAACATGTATATGCGGGGGTTTCCATCCACCACGCCCACGGCAGTCCCGCAGCGCAATGCAATTCCATTCATGCGCACAGAAGGGGCTAAACCTTCCCTCCCCATCGCAAGTCAACGAACCATGCAACTCCGTATGTATGCATAGACGGGGTCCACCGCATCCCAGTCCAAAGATCGCTTCCTGTTGAGGATAAGGGCGCAGTGAGATACTGGCTACCACTGACCCCACCTATCACATGACAACAACGTGGACCGCCAACACGCCAGCACTACTGGATGGTGCACCAACGCCACACGACAACAAACAAACCAACGTCAGCTACATGATGAGTGGTGCGAACCAGTGTACACGAATCCAAGGCGCAGCAGAGTGTCGTACTCGACGGCCTGTTTTCCATCATCAAGACAGCGATGGGTGGTCATCAACAGCCCCGACCATTCTTGAACACCTCCTGACGCTGAGGTTGAGTGAGGTGATGCGGCATGCACCATCCAAAGACCCTGGCGCGAGAGACGAAGAAATCACGAAATGCGAAACGACCCTGTGTATATATGTCGTCAAACACGCATTGGGTAATAAACGATTCCATCTCGGTTTAGAAGTGCGGGTGCACATTGCGCAACGTCTCACCTCGTCGCATCGATTTTGTCAACGAGGTTTTTGGAGGAACGTTTGACAAAGAGTTGCCTTGAGGAGACGCCGAGAGACAGACTCCGTGTGTCGTTCTTCTGCCTTTTGCGTCCGTTAACTTTCTTGCGTTTTTTTCGTTTACCTTATATATCATCGTCCGCAGCATGCTGCACGGGTCGTTGGGCGTTCTTGCTCCTGACGCTCCCGTACGGTGTCTTCTTTTGGACAAGAAAGCTAGTACGCTTCGCTGAAGACGGTGGTCACTCCTTGAGTATGCCTGTCGCGTTCAGAACTCGGCCTCCTTGCTACCGGGATTGCGGATGGAGGTGGCCGTTGGAACAGTCTTCGTGGCGACACCTGCGGCGGCGCACCAGGAGCACCATGCCCTTGCTCGCGTGTCGGGCTTAGCGTTCGTAGAACAATACTCTGTTACACCATGGAGCCCATAACGCCATACCTCGGCTGCTTGCTGCAATCGCCGTGGCCGCACCTATTTGGAGCAGTCACAGTAGACCTGCGACTCTGCACTACAGTACGCCATCTTCCGACTGTGGAGTACAGACCTGGCCGTGGTTGCTGCCGGGCATGCCGAGTAATGAATCGTTGGTGCAACCCGGATAATTGCACTGTTTTGTGCCCACCTCGTCCGTGCTGTGATTTTCTGCTGCTGGTGTTGGTGCTATATGGTATAGTCTAAGGTGGCGCTGACGTTTTTTTCTACAGGCGCGGCATGTTGTCTACAAGTAGCTGCTCTGAGTATAGTCTGTGCATACCACACAACCGCCGCACAGAGGCGATAGATTGCTCTACAGTACGCACTGCTGTGAGACTTCGATACTACAACCTTCGGCACGTAAGAGAAGGTCAGCACACTCGCTCGCCAGGAAGAGGGCTCGAGAGCGGGCTCATGGCAGCTTGTGTATGATTGCTAGTATACAGCAGTGCTATGTGGGAGATCTGAGATCTGACGAGGGCAGAGGGCATCCGCAGAGGGCACCTTACAGTCCCGCGACAGAGAAATGCCGCACGAACCATGTACAGCGCTGGCTATATTGATTTTTCGACGCCCCCAGTCTTCAGATCTGCGGATGCAACGTATGTAGTTAGTTGTTGTGGATCCAGACCCGCACCGCCGTTCGCTGGGTTTGGTGGTGCATAAGCTGCGGTGCAAAACAGCAAAACAACCACACAGCACACAGCACAGAGTAGTCGGCATCAGAAATTGACAGCCTACGCGGATGTATGTATCGTCGAAAACCAACTCAGGGCCAGACGGTACAACGACATGCGGTGCTGTGCTACACTTTTTTTCTCGCTCGAAACTGCTGTGCTGTGTATTCACGTGTAACCCTACCGTCCAAGTGGGAGCGTGGTCTTGTTGGTTTGGTTCCTAACAAGGTCAGGGAACAGGAACAGTATTCCACACTATACACCCAAAGACTATGGATATCTGAAGAGGAAGAACCGCCAAGTATTGGGCAGGGGGCTAAATATTGTTGCAGAACATGGCGGCAAGAAACCATGGCATGTCGACCTTGGGGACTACCGGTTGTTCACTGCTGTCACCCTTGACTGGCCAACAAGTAACCTCTTGCGTGTGTGTACCCATCCTCATCATCCACGCCTGCCTCTCCCAGTTCATCCCTGTAGCTTCCACGCGACATCGGACCAGAGTGGGCGAAGCTTCTCGAAAGCGAGTGGTGCCAAGCATGATCATGAGGAGGGTGTCAAACCATGCAGCTGCCGCAACGTTGTTGGTGGGTGTGATCTTTGCAGCAATGCTCCTCTGCATGGGAGCAGGCGTCCATGGTGCTACAACCACAGCAACCAACACCGGCACTTCGTCTGTGTGCTTCGACGAGTCTGCCGTCGGTGATGGAGACTGCGACAGGGACAACAACTTTGCGGAGTGTGGTGAGCAGCAGAGCGTCATGATCAAGGGAGAGAAAATGATACACAACAACAGTTGGGACACGATGTTGCATCTGCCCTTTGTCCATGACATCGATGGCCCCAAATCATGCCAAGACTCACTCATAGCTGCAAAGCAGCAATATGTAGACTCGTGCTTGTTGATCGGAGTCAACGTAATGTATGCGTGGCCTGGTGGGATGCCGGGTGCCACGCCAGGGTTCCAAGCAACGGGTGTTGCTGTAGGTAGCTCTGCCTATTGTTTTCATGCTACACTTAAGCCCCCGTCTCTCAACTACATGTGGGGGGCACGACTACTCTCTACTCGACAAACAGACTACCGTAAACTACACAAGGTAACACACAAACATAAGAAACCATACCCCCCACAGAATACGACACCCCGGTGGTAATTTTCGGCATTTCTGACAAACCATCGATTTATCACCCGGGCTACATAAGATAACACACCCCGTGGTTACGCCGCATACATTCACGGGGCCCCTCCTTCTATCACCGGGGTGATACATCATCTGCCCCGTGGGCATCGCACACTGCTGTCACACACACACACAACACTTGCGTGCGGGGAATCACCCCGCATGGAGACCTCGAATAACATGAATGTGCAGGGAGCGCAGAATGCTGCCGCATGTACCTCCGCGTATCGGACAAGGTACCTTCGATTTAATTTTCATTTTTCATGCTCCATCAAGCCGTGATGATTGCTGACGTTATTTTGTTTGAAACTTTTTTCGGTGTTGAGGGGGTTGAGTCATCACCGAGATCACGTGCTCAGGAGTTTCGTCACCTCCGTTGAGCCCCTTTGTTTTATCACATCCCCGCAGAACCACACTTCAAGTGTGCGGCACCCCTTCAAAGTGTGCGGCAGCAGCGGTTCGACTCTACAAGCAGTGTTATCACCCCCCCTTTATATCACCCCCCCAAACACGCACCCTGTGGGTGTTCGGAGTTGCTATCACACCCCCTTTTTATCACACCCCCTCATTTATCACCCCCTCAAACACACCTTGCGGGTGTTCAGACTGGCTATCACACCCCCCTTTTATCACACCCCCAAACACACTCTGTGGGTGTTCGGACGTGCTATCACACCCCCTTAGGTGCCCCCGAGCTGCACTTATCACCCGGGCTACATTAGATACCACACACCCCACAGGATACCACACCCGGTGATAACATTTTTAAAGCCAAAAATGTATCACCGGGGGTGTGTTATCTTGTGTAGTTTATGGTATACAGCGGGCCCGCAGATAAGAAATGTCAAATTCGGGTCGAACCTCAATCCCTTATTTTGGGTCCAAGGACCAGCCGAAGTAGTCCGATTTCTTTATAGGCATTTCTTATTCCTTTGGAACGTCGCATACTCCAAATCCGCTTCTCACTTCTATATTTTCTTATTTGGCTAAAGAATACAACACAAGAAATGGAAAGCTCGGTGTCCCATTGGCGTGGCGAAATAATAACCACCTCCTCCGAAACAATGCACTGTTCAGCTAGGTAGGGGGTGGGAACACGGCAGGAGCAGCAGTGGGACGTTTCTGATCGGGCACGCTCCTCCAGCTACCCCTTGTTTCTTATTTCTTGGGGGGATCACACCATCATGTTTCTTATTCGGACTTTTCTTATGTTGTGGCCGAGATTGAGGTGTGTGCCCTTTTTTCTTATTTTTCGTAAAAATTGAGCCTATTTTCTGAACAGAATTTTTCTTTAACTGCGGGCCCGTACTGTTAAAGAACAGATCGTCTGAACTTGCCGTGCGTACCTCGTTCCTGATCAATAGTGATTTTCACGAAGCAGTCTTACACTCTGGGTTGCATTCATCCTGTTGATTTGGAAGGTTTTCAACAGTTTCGAGCGCTATGCTGACTTGTGGTGGTGTGTTCGAAATTCGACATCCCTTTCGAACAGCCCTTTGCGTGTGCTTGCTCCTCGTACGCCTTGCTGCAGGATACGACGGGGGCGATTGCTGCGAGTGCACATGTGTTTCAGAAGGTACGGTTTGCAGCCCATTCATTCCATTCTCCTGTGGTTCTGTGGCAAGATGAAATGTCTGCGCCGACGTTTTCTGTGTGCTTTTTATTATTGCCTCGAAGCCTATCGATCTTTGGCAAAAATGGGTCGTACACCCGAGCTACATGGTGCACGTTCTTGAAGGGGTGGCCTTTGCCCGCACATCACCGATCGATGCGAATGGTTCGAACGGCAGAGTGTTGTTTTTACCGGTTGGTGCTTTGTGCTACATCTACTCCCTTTTTAGCACCTGTAAACAATGAAACATTGTTGTACTGCTGTTGTCTGGACTGCCCCAGCGTACGGATTAACTTCAAAACGATGATTTTCGGCTGCCTGTGCTTCCCACAAAATGCCCTACAACGGTTTTTTTGGGGACGACGGCAATTATTGTTTTCAACAACGACAAAAAACGTTTAACCAGTCGGTGCTCACCCCTCTCTCAGGGGAGTACGAGTGCGGAGCTGGTGGCTATGCGTGCATCGATCCAGCCGCTGAGTGCGTAAACGATGACGACGTTACCTTTCAGATTGCTAGCACTTGCGTCGCCGACATGATCGGGGATGCGTATTGCGACGAACCTAACAACGTAGAGGAGTGCGGTGAGTGCGCGGGACGTTGTAGCTGTAGTTTCCGGCTTGGATGTCCACGAAGTTGCTGTTGTAATAGCGCTACATGTCGTAGATCGAATCGTCAGCGTGTTGCGCCTGTGGCGGGCATGGCACTGATCATGGCCGTTGTTAAACGTTTCGCGCTGCGTCAACCAGCTACTGATTTCCTACGCATACCTGAACTCAATGGTGGTCGCTTCGGGTCTCGGTGTTATCCGATGGTAAAGTCTTCGCCTCAATGCATAGAAAGCTTGCGTGTGACAAACAGCAGCATCCGAGTTGACGAGGTACGTACTTGTTGTGACCCCCACGCGACTACGTATATTTGCTCACGGTGTTAAACTTTCGCCCAACCAGGCATTTTTGCAATGACTGCTTGTGCTGCGGAGGAATCGGGCTTTGAACATGAATGAGTCCAGGGCGTATGGTATCTCATGCAACACTCAGAACTTTCGCGGCCCCCCAAGGTGTGATCCGGCATGCTCTGACTGATGCTGCTGTCATTTTCTCGCTTCCGTGCTTGTGCTCCTTTGTTGGCTTTCCTCAGGCTACGACGGTGGTGACTGCTGTCCTTGCACCTGCGAGGTACGAAAGATATCGCGTCTCGACGGGGTATGGACAGACTAGATGGAGGAGGAACACCTCAAACCTTAAAAACGCTGCGTTCGGGAGCTCCGATGTGGTTGGAAGCACTGGTTGACCCATCTGGTTTATTGTTCGAAGTAATGAAGGGAACCATAGCCGTTCCTAGGATGATCGTAGCGTGCTTGCCTTGTGCCAAAAGTCGTGCCCCGCCCACTTGGTTTTTGCTACTTCTTGGTGTAAGCAAGCATTGTCGTTGTGTGTCTTCCGTGCCCATCGTCGTTGACTTTCTTTCCGGCACGTTCTTACATCGCGATTGCCGTGTGAAACGGGGAATTATTTTGCATCCTTGCCGCTGCGCCCTGCCGCTGCGCCGTCCACCGTTGACGGAACTGAATGACCCTGTCAGGACATCCCCACGTACCCGTGCGGGAGCTTCTCCCGCTTCTCGTGCGTCGACCCCGCCGCCCCCTGCGTCAACGATACCGAAGCCCCTACGCCCGTCCCGACTCCGGTGCCGCCGACAAGCCTGACTGCCGCTCCAGTTGTCGTTGCGTCGTCGTCTTCCACCCCGGGGTTCCGCAGAATGCACGCCGGGGAGATGGTGGTGACGGCGGTCGTTTCCGCCGCCTTTGCGGCCGCACTGGTGGCGTAAGCTCGCTGGGTGGGTGGTGGGAGGGTTGGTTCTGGAAAGTGGCTTGAAGAACAACCTTTGTGTGGTGCTTGTGGATGGGATTGTCTTGGGCTCTCTTCCTCTTGTTGAAGGTGCGCGGCTGTGGCTGGTGTAGTATTTACCCCTGTAGGAGGCCGTGCTTCCCTCCCTCTTCGCCGTCTGAAGATTCTGACGCCAGGATGCCCATTCGATTCGTCCATTAGAAGAAGTCCATACACCATCAGGCAAGCCCTTTTACGATGAAGACGCGCGATGTTTCCTCAGGCTAGAGCGCACACTTACACGTGGGTATGCGTGTCGGAAACGACACGAGTATCATCCACACCTACTACGCGGGTAGCTGCTCCCCGTAGTTTTTAGCATCAGCGGCTTTCGTAGTGCCGAGTGCACGGGCCTCCGGTAGTTTTAATTGATGTTGTGTACAGTAGCTGTGGTTGACGGTTCTCTTATTTAACATTGACCCTTCCCGGAAAAACCTTATGTGGGATGTTAACTGCTGTACTTATTTCGAGATCAGGAATGGTGTTACTTTAGTTGAGGTTGAGGGGAGTCAGATTGTGACAGCTTCCATCTGACAACAAAGTTCTGGAGATTGATGTGTGTACTACGCTCGTTGAAATCAATTAGCGCACAGCAGTCGCAAGATGTGCCCATGTTTGTGTGTGTCCGTCATTCATTTTGGTTTATTTTCCGCTTTCTGCCCACGAGGAATTCTCCCGAGCATCTGCGGGTAGCGAAGAGTAAGTCAAGGGAGGGGATTCGGTGTATCATAAATTGTAATTTGACCTGGTTGGAGATTGAAAGACTCTTGCGGTCGTAGGGGGCAGGGGGTAGTTGAATTTTGATGTGCATGTATTCAAATGTTGTTGGCTTTTAGTGTGAGTGTCCGGCGTCCGTCATCTAAATGTTGTGAGAGTGCCAAGCCACATGCCACCGTTAAGTTTCCCGCGGCAGGTGGGGATGAACGTACTTTCTCACGAACCATGGTTAACGAAAGAGAGGGGAGATGTGAGTGTTCTTGATGGACGGGGTCGATGGTAAAAGTCGCCTCCAAGCGTGGCCGTCTAACAACGCTGTCGTATCCTGCGAGATGCAGCAGCGGTTAGGATCCTTTTTTTGGCAATTAATACGCGTGTCGGATGTAATGACGAAGAGTATATGACAAAATAGCATGTTTGTATGGAACCCTCTCAGGGATCGGCGTGAGCAAGCCCTGCTACAGGTTCTAGATGTCTTGAGCGTAGGTGGCGTATCGTCGCGCGTCCTTCCACGCCTGTCACGCCAACAGAGCGCATGAAAGTCGTATGTGTGGCGCGCATAGTTGGGCGCACGGAAGCACCATGTACGAACGTACTAGATGGACGCGTACTAATAGATGGTTTCCAAGCCGGGCTTCCGTGGTGTTGTACACACACGCGGTTTTTCATCCTTCTCCGAGCGATGAATACTCCAGCTCTCCCCCCTTCTTCGGGCTTTTTCTGAACGAACGGCGTTCCTTGAAGCTCACCCCTTTGCGCGGGAGTCGAAAGAGACCGTTGCAAAACAGGTGAAAACAAACACGCAATCACCAATCACCAATCACCAATCACCCGGTGGTCTAGTGAGGACGACGATCCATCAATCAATGCGACACGCTCATCAGATCCTCCAAAAAAAAAGGCTAGTATAGATGTAAATTTTTCCGCCCGATACAGTTCCACGCCAAAACTGCACGCGCCATCTACATCAGTCACCTCCCTCGTTGACGAGAATGTCACCTCCGACCTCTCAGACGTCCTTCAGTCCGGTAATCCTTCGCAAGTTACGGTTCGTCAACCGGAAAGCCAACAATCACGCGGGAACGCAAGACGCATCCGCATCTTCCTGCCCACCAAGCCGACTTTAAACCGAGACACAACTATCCATTCAGCCCGCCAGACCCAACTCCACCCGTTGCCGATTCAAAACAACGGCACTTTCCCATCTACAAAGCGGAATCCCGTGTGAGTGCCCCGGTACCCTCTCGGGGTGGTATCCCGGGAGATAACCACAATATTGGCGATATCCGTAGCGCCTCACCCGTACCGCCAAGATCAGGCTCACAAGCTTATCCAAGTCACATTTTCCGGTGATTCCACGTCCATTTCCGCACCGCTCTACTATCACGGACGGTGTCCTCAACAAACTTGTGTAACCCTGACATGCGCGCGCGTGCGCCGTGTCGCACACAAGCTCCGCACGCACAGCCCAAAATTGCGTTTCGTACAATAAGTAGCTGGATGTGTGGCAGCAATTCACTACTCGCTCACGATTTTTGCTTCACCAAACCGGCTCACTTGCCATCAAATTTACCGTATCTACAATTTTCTTCGACGCCGTCAGCCCATGTTCCGTACCCAAGATACGGCCCAAAAGATTTGTGCAAAATTCTGTGAAGCGTCACAAATGGCAAAACTGGAAAGGACAATGCCGCCACCTGGGGGCTCAACATCTACCTCACTCTCTCTATCTCTCAAGTGAAATGGACAGGACGCGACTTTCCAGATTCACGCACAGATCTATCTCGACCGCAGCAGCACCAGCCGTGGAACCTATTACTTGGCGTCGGTCGCTTCAAACTGGGAGGTGGCCACGCTCTATTAATAGCTGCCGGAATGTTCTGAGGAACGCTCCGAAGGTCCGAGGGTCGCTCCGAAGCCCCTTCCGTCACACGAAAACAGGCAGCCGACCGTCTTGCTCCATAAACCCAAGCCAATCGTGACTCGGCGTTCAAGAGCGAGGAAATCTTTAGGGTTAGGGTTAGGGTTAGGGTTAGGGTTAGGGTTAGGGTTAGGGTTACTCTGTCGGTTGTAACGCCAACCACCAACACCGGCAACCGGTTATTTGTTCTTGGCCCAATGGCTCCAACTTTTGGGATCCCGTTCACAGTTCTGCGCTCTTGATCTCCCCGCTGAGCTCTTCCTTCTCCTTCTTCCTCCGTGCAATTCTCTTCGCCTTCCTCTCCTCCTGATTGGCCAAGACGGGAGGGGCGCCGTACAATCCAGGATCAATATCGTGTGGGGGTGAGACATTGTCGTCGAGAAACAGGGCTGTTTTCACCTTCCTTTCTGATACTCGTTCTATGAGTCGGAAGGGGGGGTGATATGGCCTTTCAAGCAGTGATCGAAAGGGTCAAGGGAGTTGTACAGAAGACGGAGGCCACCACCTTCGTCAAGAAAAAGGATGCCGCATTCGACGACTTCCCATAAACAGGAGTTACTGTGGCCGTACCCCGTATGCGCTTTGTGTCTTCCGCCGTAACCGGGTTGAGTAACGCATTCCCTCTGCCGGATCGGCGTAACTACCGCAGGTGACGCAATATACCACACCCCCGAGACTCATGTTGGAAGCTCGATTGCTCCACGACGAAGAAGATGTCGCAGTCAAGTGATAATTTTTCGGGAGAGCTTTCGACAGACGGCTTCAACGCAAACTGTTCCAGCACCGCAACTGCTTCTGCAGCAAAGTAATCCGAGCGATGAAAATCGGTCCAAGAGGGTGTTGTATCTTGCGGGAAACCTACGATATGTACACATATCTCACCGTGGGCTTTGTCGCAAATTTCGCAATGGTACATAGTATTAGCGGATTTCTCGTTTGCAACCAGCGGTCATTAGAAAGTCCGGGAGGGGGGGGGTCCGTGTATTCATCCGTCTACCCATGCATATACCTCATCCACCGTTAAGCTTTCTTTGTCGTTTCACTGGGATCGAGTGTTTCTTTCTTAACAGCAGTGTATGCATACGTCACGTCGTGTTACGGATGTTGTAGACACAGACGGGCCCTTCTCTACTGGCGGAGGTCGCAAACACGCCTCTCTGACGACCGGCGCTGAACGCCTCACGCACCTTTCGCTTGGTGTATTCCGGGTTGTTGCCGACGCTGAACATGGGGCAGTTGTAGCACCCCTTGCTCGGGCAGTTGTCGCACCGCATGCCCCCGTCACCACTGATCCTCTGGAACGTTACAACAGCAGCAGCAGCAGCAGCAGCAGCAGTAACACGGGAAAATAATCACCACCGAGCAGGACAAAGAGGTTATTATGGTTTTGGTGGGGCGGAAAGCACAAGACGAGACGAATTAGGGTACCGTACGTAGTCACCGTTTAGCCGAAAGGCTTCGTGTGTACTGGTACACGGTGATACAGGACGAAAACATCAGCAGCACGCGGCCAGAGCTCGTGGCCACTGCTACTTAGACAAGAAGGCTTCGTGTGCACTCGTACGGTACAGGACGACAAACATCTGTGTGAAGCGGCAGCAGGCCAGAGCTCTTTGACGGCTGTGTGGGACGCAGTAGGAAACAGGAAAACAACACCCTGCACGATAATTCTAGAACTCGCGTGAGGAAAAAAACTTAACGTTACATGACTGGTTTGAGGCCCTTTGTGAGAAAAACATAGGTCTCCGAAAAACGATTGATTTCGGGACAACACCGATACTACCGTATATGACACAAGATAACACACCCCCTTGGCCGATTTTCAAAGCTCGATTTCTCAACAGCAGGAAGAGTCACAGCGCCGAAAACGGCGGCGTTGGAACCGTCTCGTCGAGAGGTTTTCGAAAATGTATTGTTTCGTTTATGCATCCTCTTCGTCGTGGAGTAATCGAGCTTTGAAAATCGGTCCAGGGGGTGTGTTATCTTGTGTCATATACGGTATTCAGGTTCCGGCTAGAAAGAGAAATTCCACGACTACATACCATCCCACGGCCACATACAGAACGCCCCGGGTGAGGTTCCGCGACACCCAACAGAGAACGGACCAAAAAAAAAAAAAGGCAACCAACAAAACAACTTCTCCTTTGACATGACGCACGTGCTGCCTTCGTGTGAGGTCGATTTCTTCTCTTCAGATTCTGTCAACACGTGATCACGAACGTCTTCGCGTCACGGAGCCCCCTGACACAGCAATGCGAGCCAGAGCACTATAATAATAACTTCGGTACGGTAGTGGTCCCGCCATAATGCCGGTACGGTACGGTAGGTGCCAACCCCTTGAACCACCATTATTCCGGACAGCCGGCAATAGTCAGAGTATGACACAACTTGAACATTCAATCTGTGCCAGACGATTTCACCAGCATTTATACGGGCACTTGGCATTATTCATTATTTAGCGATCACTGCTGTTGTAACGACTAAGAGGTGCAATCCTGTAGCATTGCTCGTGCATACCTGCATTCCGTTGGCGACGTTATCGTGGTCGTTGCCGACAAGCTTGGCCTTAAAGTTGATGCTGATCCCCTCCCTCTCCTTTTCCAGCCTGACCAACTCCGGAAAGTCGACGTAGTGGATGCAGTCCACGGGACACGTCAGGATCGCGGTTTGGACCTGTGAAAACGGAGGTAGAAAGAAAAAAAACAGTCAAGGTTTGTTCCAGGCGTTCTACACAAGTGCCATGATGACTTCGAGGCATTACTTTTTGGTTGGCTCGCCCCGCTTTGAAGTTGCGGGCATAGCCTTCCTGGGGTGGACCTCAAATAATAGGCGGACGGGCTGTTCTGTTTAACATAGGGGCAAACGGCAACGGAGGCCACGAAGGGGGGGGGAATACACAGTTGGGACAAAAAGACCCAAAAACACAAAGGGCGGGTGTAGCAACAAACAGAGACACCATAGGTAAAAAAACGAGTGGATAACGGCAAGCAGCGAACAGGTGTAGCAATGAGCATACAACATGGAAAAAAAAAAAAATGGATATCGGCAAGCAAACGAATGAGAGCATCCGTGCCCCTTCCTTGGTACCAACGGGAAGAACCGACAACTACCGTACATGACACAAGATAGCACACCCCCTGGACCGATTTTTCAAATCTCTAATTCTCAACAGCAGCGAGAGTCACAGCGCCGAAAACGGTGGGGCTGAAGCTGTCTCGCTGAGAGCTTTCCGAAAATGTATTGTTTCATTTATGCTTCCTCTTCGTCGTGGCGTAATCGAGCTTTGAAAATGGTCCAGGGGGTGGGTTATCTTGTGTCATATAAGGCAATTCAAGACCCAAATCTTACCAAGATTTTCGGCGGGGAACACTCCTGGCGGCAACTTACCGCGTCGGCCGTGTCTCTGCCCTGCTGGTAGACCCTCGCCCGGCCGAACTCCTCCTCCATGAAGAAGGTAGAGGGGGCCTGGTGGTTGCAGTGCGTGCACCCAATGCAGGTGTACTCGTCCACGTACACGAACCTGTCACGTAAACGGAAAAGAAGATGATGATGACGACGACAGGGCGGTTCTTATCGGCCGTCCTGGTCTAGCCCTCTCCACTTCAATGCATAGCAGTGCCGCTTTCTGTTGTTTCGGTACGCGGGTGACGGCTTTCTGTTGTGTTTCTTATAAAAACTGGCGTATTTTTCTTACAAAAGCTGCCGTCTGTTCTTGCAAATACTCACCTCTTTTTCTGACAAAAACACCACATTTTTTTTCGCTTTATTAGGGTGCGAGGGCGGTCGATTCTGCTCTCTGTTCGCCGAAACGCATGAGGAAAAAAAAAAAAAAACTCAGAAGTAGCCGAAAAATGGTCTGAACTTGAGCGCCGCTCCCCAGGATGTTTGCCGCGAATTGCCACAGGCCTCTCATTGATTGAGCGAAAAGGTGACATTGTGATGTTGCAGTATGGAACGACTCCGCCCACTTATGAACATACCAGGTATGTAGCAGTTAACAACTTGGGTCTCAAACTTCCGAAAGCTAATTAAGAAGTTGGCCATAAGAACAGGTCCTCAGTCAAGAAGCCTACAACAAATCCTATTTAGTCGCCGTGGGGGTAGTCTACCTCATAGGCAACATAAGAGACGAGCCTCGGCCAAATAAGAGGTTCTTGAGGGCTTACGGCGTGCCCTTTCTATCGGGTTGCCTGGTGAGCACCCGAATCGTTTATCGTTTATTCCAGGTGACCCGCTCCCTTGGCGTGCAGTCGTCCCCGCTATAGACACGCCATTTTATCAGAAGCACGGTCCCCCGCGGAATGAAAAATAGGGGGGGGGGTGTACTCAAAGTCGTGCATGCCGTGGTCATTAGACCATTGACCTCGCATCCCTACAAAGCCGGGACGGAGCACGCCGGGTTCTCACCGGACCAGGCTCTCACATCACCAAGCGCGAAGCGCCGTGAGGTATTTGGCGAGTCGCATGAAGGGTGAGCTGCATCCTGCTAAGGGTGTTCGGCATCTTGTGCTTACTTCCTTGCGTACGGATGACAGCTACGTATGACTTAATTTATTTTCTGGTGCTTTCACTTCCATAGACAGTTGTAAGCACTGTGTAACTGCCTCGAGGAAGCTTGACCATTTTAACACAACGTGGGGCGATCATCCCCCGTTGCGCGGAGTGCATCCCGTGGTCGTTAGACCATTGACCTAGCATCCCTACAAAGCCGGGACGGAGCACCCCCGGTTCTCCCCAGACCAGGGGGGGTGGGGGGGGGGGGGATTTCAAGGACACTCCTCCACTTTGAGGGCAATATTCTTGAAGAAACCCTACCAGTGTCTTTATTTGAAGACACTTCTGTTTTTTCAACAAACACAATGAGTGCGGGGGGCGACTACAAAAAAAAAAAACGCTAACAACACTGCCGTTGAGGTCGTGGGACCGCCGTGTTCGGCTGTTCCGTCGCTTGTTGACCAAGGCATAGACGGAGGGAATGCAGCTCACCTGTCCTCTAGTGGAACTCCGTTTTCGTCCTTCTTGACCAGGCTGCTAGAAGGCGCCACCTGATCGCGACCGCACCACCGCATGGGGAAATCGCACAACACAAGCGAGAAAGTTTCTGCAACAACAGTCACTAAATAGCTCATGATGCCCGTGAAAATCGGCAGCCGCGTGCCGAGCTAGTTGCACCCGCTGGCGGCATTCTAGTTAGGTAAAGGCGTGCTTGCCCTTTGCCCTAAATTGAGTCGTGCCGCAGGCCACGCCGAGATAGAAACCACGGGTCTTGTGTAGATGAAGGGCGTTATCTTCTCATCCCCTTGTATCTGATGGTTTTATTCTGACCCGAAGACGGAACCATTGCCCAAACAACTCGCCTACTGAGAACGGAGGGTTCAATGCGCGGCCCTCCGCAGACAGGAAGGAGCAGCGGGTGCATGTAACCATGAAATACTGGAACGCTGTATTCGGAATACCGCATCCTCGAGCCATCCAAGCTTCGGTGTACGTGAGAACAGCCCCGACTAGAACATCTCCGTGACAGACGCTCCAAACCGCCGTGTGAAATTCTCGCACTCTGTGCCCGGTTCGTGCGTTTACCTTCGAGGGAAAAGTGAAAGGAACTTCTAGACCCTTCTCGCGTCGAAATACAAAGCCAGGAACGCACCGGGGAGGAAATCCTCTTCAGACACACGACCGGCAACATTCCGTGCACAAAGCTACCCCGAACGGTGACGGCAAGGCCTCTCGCGCTGGTTGATGCATAAGACTACTCCATGAAATGACGCGAAAAACAATGAGACCAAGATTCCCGTCAAAACATGCGCTAAGGACATACCAGGTATATATAACAACATGAAGTAAAAAAACGTCCATAAAGTGGGAAGAGACCTCAAATACCTCCCCACGATCAAGAGAGGACGCGTGGTCAATGGTCTAACCGCTAAGGCATGCAACACATGAGAGTAAGCCCCCGTGTGTTGGTCGTACGTTTTACATTCTGCGGGGGCACCATACTTTTGAAAAAAAAAATGTTGCCGTTGAAGCGGGGAGCGTCCTTATCCTAGTGATGTCCTTACAGCGTGGACGACAACCGTACAGTACGATACCTTGAGGAGTTCTTCCTCCGCTCTCCAGGCACTCGAATCCACGAAAGCCGCTTGGTTGAACTTCTCGAACGCTCTCGCCGCCGCCTGGTCCGCTCTGACCTTGGCTTCCTCAGCCTTCGACTTGGGAGGCTCCTCCGATGAGTCCACGCCTGACGCGGGAAGACGTGAGACGCGTTCGGACCTTCGCTGGTGGTATCTGTGTTGGTGCTACTGCCGTTGTTGTTCTTGTTGGCTAACAATCGCAGTCAACGGTGGCTGTAGTGGCTGTTGTTGTTCGTTGATGTCGTCGTCGTTGTCGGTACAGAGGTGTGTCGCGTGTTGAGCCGCTATCGTTGTGGTGGCATTTTTTTCTCACAGCAGTGGCCAATGGTTGCTTGCTGTCGTTGGCGATTGTACTTGCTGTGGTGTCAGTCGTTGTTGTTGACGATGTCGTCGTCGACGTTGTCGTTAGAGTTGCTGCTGCCTGTCGAGGGGCTACTCTTCTCGTGACACTTTGTTCTAACAGCAGTAGCCGGTGCTTGTAGCTGTACAATTGTGTGTAAAACCGGTGCCGGCGGAGGCGTTCGGGTGCCACGTAGCCCGGGTCCCGTGATGTGGGGGTAGGTCTCTCGGCGACCCTCTACTATTGGGAGAAACTGACCGGTGGCGACAGAGACCGCTTCTCGCGGCGGAATTTCGTCCGGGATCCCGGGAATTCTCGAAAAAAAATCCCGGGATTCCAATACACCCGGGTACAGCAGAGGCCACTGCTCACGGTGTGTATTTTCGAGCTATGGGAATCAGAGTATTACAGATGTGTGTATCGTCTTGAAGCTATGCATACGACGTTTCTGCTAGGGATGTTCCGGACCTTGACGCCACAAGATAGTTCTTGCTCTCCGGCGAACAATCGAAGAACAATCGACGAACAATTGACCGCGCGGCCCCCGTCCCCTTGAACGTTTCAGCACAAGAGGCAATGAAACCCCTTATTTGGTGTTGCATCATCGTCCACAGCGTCGTGTTTGACGATTGCGACAGGCATTGGTTCGTCCAGGACTCAACGATCACTATTTGTCATAGTACGCTATCGATTGGAGATTCGATCCCGAGATAAAATTCTCAGCGAACTTCAACTAGGTTCTTGACAAGGACAGGAGCATCGAGCTCTGCTCCAAGTAAGTTACTCGAAAGGATACACCGCGGCAAAAATATGGAGGTCGGGGATCCTTCGGTGTAACCCCAACGCTATAATAGTGGTAGATCGAGAGAGGCCGAACCGATCTGTCGAGCAGATGACAGGATGAACATTACACATCAACTACTCCTGACCCTGTCACATGTTTTATCGGAGATGCATCTCCCTCTCTCCCATTAACCACCATGCCAGCAACAAACAAGGCCATACATGACAAGTAGGCAGGGAGGAAGACAGCACTACACCGGGATGAGGGGGGGGGGGGGGGGGAGCGCGCAGCCACGGGGACTCCCTGCCTCATCACAACTGCAAAAAAAAAAAAAGGACTCCCAGAACGCGGACCAACCTCACCCAAGTAGGCGGCGATTTGCTCTTCGGAAAGCCCCCTCTGCTCCATCTCCGCCCTCTTTTGGTCCTTAGCGGTCATGCTCTCCATCTCCCTGAGCTGCTCCGCGCCCTGCATGGCGTTGATCGCTTTGTCGAATTTGTCGCTTCCTCCGAGAGTTTCCATCATGCTCTTGGGAGCCGGTATCGTATCAGAGACCCCCCTGTCTCAGGATTTACATTCCGAAACAATAGCGTCAACGTCAACAAGTTGTGGCGAAAGTAACAACGCTGCAGACAAGGATCCACACCACACGATGGCGTCAACAAGTTAACAATTCAGCGTAGCGAAGTCACAACGCTGCACCGCACACACACACAAAAATGAAATATCCACACCACACGATGGTATCCACAAGTTGACAAGTCAGCGTTTAGCGAATGTCACAACGCTGTACCGCATACTCTCAAAAAAGGAAAGATCTACACCACACGATGGCATCAACAAGTAATGCTTCCATGCATCGAAACTCACACCGCTGAACCAGCGCACGAAAAAAAAAAAAAGGGTCGACTCTCACATCCCGAGGTCTTCTTCCTCGTCGTCCACCATGAAAGCGGCAGCCGCTGCTTCCGCCTGCCTCTTCTTCTCTTCCTCTTCCTCCTTGTTCTCCTTCTCCCACTTGTCCACCACGTTTTGAGCCGCACTCGCGAGCTCGAGGACCGTGTTCTCCCCCCCTTCCGCGTTAACCTGCGGGATGTGATGCAACGGTTCCAGCGGTTGGGTAAGTCGGGGCCATGCTGTACTTTGCCTGTTGCTTGTAACCTCTGTCGCATGTAATCCGACCTGGAAGCATAATAACGATCTGAACGCCATCCCACACCTCCAACAACACCCGTAGATAAAACGACTCTGCGTGTCCACCAGGCTAACCACCCCTCAAGAGCAGTTGGATGTGGTACTAACGTATTTCGGGTCCGCGCGCCGCTTCTTCTTGACGGTGTTCGACACGCCCATCCCCATGTCATCGCCGCCCTGAGTCTTGGCTTCGTTCTCTCGTAGCTCATCCGTCCAGGCATCCTGTGAAAAACACACACACAGTCGTGGTCCCGGTTTAGCGGTCCATAGTGTCACAAAATGTTGTAACCGCTATTGAGGGCATCGCCGAAGGCGGGTTGGCAGCTGTATTGTATTGGAGTTTGACTACCGAGGTGCAGCCGCGCCACGAGATTTTGGGACCGCTATTATTCAGGGGCATCCCGCTGAACAGGGAAGGAACTAAGCGCTAACACCGGGACTACGACTGCAATCAAAACACGGAGAGTCCGAGGTTGTTGATAAACGCGAAGCTCGGAATTTCATGGGAGGAGGACCACGATACGATAGGTGTGCTTCGTAACACCAAACGCGGGTAGAAAAAAAGGGCCAGATGTTTTGATATACTGTACACCCTCGCAACGCTACGCATATGATAGGTGTGCCTTCAAATGTAGATACGGAGAGGAACAAGCCGGAAGGGTGTATTGATATAGTAGAAGCTTGGGACCACGCAGGAGGAAGGCTAAACTCCACAGAGAGCGTGTTCTTTCGTCTTGCTTTTCATCCTTCCCCTGCCGCTCTTGCCGTACTGGCTAGTGCGACAAGGACTCCACCGCTCCTCCCACTATAGCGTCGAGCATGAAACCGAACTCTGTGCGAAGCGTTGTCAGGGTCTTGGTTGCCCACCATGCATGCCGTGCGGTCGGCATCCAAACAAAACAATCCCACCAGGGAACAGCAGTACCGCACGGGGAAGGGCATCATTTCCTGGAGTGCCGCTAAGGCAAACCAAGCTACAGCACGTGGCTCCGAAACAAGAGGGTGGTGGGACAAAGGCCCTCGACCCTCGTATATAGCAGCCCGTCGTATATACCGGAATAAGAGGATACCCAATCCAATTATGGCGGGTCCAGTCCGTGACAAACGATTAAGGCACCCTCTTACCATATCGGAGTCACGACTGTACACAGATTTACATCCTTATTCCACTGTAAACAAGGTTGGTTTGTCCTCGGGATGGGCTTGGATTCTTTGTCGTTTTGCTTGTTGTCCCGTCTAGTCGGAGTAGGGCTTCCGGCGTCGGAGTTTCCGGTTGGGGGCAGTTGACGGCTTTCATGTAAGCGGATGCAGCAAAAGTCCTTAATCCAAACACATACAATATCGAAACCATGAGCAGTTTTAACACTAACAGGAGCCGAGCACAGCCATCTACAGCAGCAGGTGCGCCCGATATCTGGCTGAAGATGCCGCAACGCTCCGAACGATGCGAAAACTCGCTGCTGCCTTGTACTGTACCGAAAACTGACTTCGTGAGAGACTACGGCAGTAGATGCCCGGCCGGCGGTATTCGTCGGCTGGCGGGAGATGAGTTGGCCACGGGGAGGAAGACTCAACATAAGGCGACGGTAACTTTAGATACAAAGGTGCTTTGGAGATATCAGCTGGGTCGGCGTATGGTACGGACTGGACAGGGGGTGGTATTGTCCGTATCTTTCGCCCAATTGCACATGACAAGCCCGGCGATACTATGGATAGCATGGGCGAAGAGATCAGGCCCTGTACAGTCCGTGCTGCCATACATTGGAAAATGGCTGCACGCGTTATCTGTGCACAAGGTGCTTTTCGCGCACGCCAAGAAGCGGCGTAGATACTCCCATTGTTCTTCGTCGAATGTCGTGGGATTTGCTGACGTGTGCCATGTACAGCTCAAAATTCCGACATGACATGACCAAAAAATTCAAACGTGGATCAATCAACACCACTTACATCCACCTCCAACTCACCGGGTCGAACTCGTCATCATCGTCCATGGATGCCCTCAACACCACCCCCACCCCCATTCTACCCACCGATGGTCTCCGCTGGCAGCAATCTACACCGCCCCGCGATCTCCCTGCTGTTGGTGCTGCTGTCACTGCTGCCGTACCGTCAATGACCCCGCCTGCTACCGCTCCTCGAACAACGACAAAGCTCTGGGCTCCCCGGGGCCTGCATAATGCCCCGATTATTGCAAGAGACATACCGACCCCCAAGCATGGTAGTGATCTATCCCCCGCGAAGGACCCAGGACGCCTCCTGACGGGCATGCTTGCTTTGCGCTTGACCTGCACCTGTTCGTGTGCCGCCGGCCCACGCGCCCACGCGACAGCAGCAGGTGTTTTGCGGTGGATTTATTTTCATACACGGAGCCCCTTTCCATGTCTCCCCCCCCCGACCCGAACTAATTCTGTAAAAACGGATCTTTCTCGTTCAGTATTCCCCCGCCTTTTGTCCCGGTGGGGAGACATCACCCCCGGATCACCCAACAAAACCACACGCGCACTGCACGCACACTTCGATCGCACCCGTATATCTCCCACAACCAACGCGCCATCCTCTCCAGCAGCACGTCAGCTATAGTTTTTCGCCCCTCCCGCTGCGCTGCTCCGAAAGCAGTACACAGAGTACGCACGAGATCATGACAACGTTTTCGACGCCACTCACTCACCATCGGCGGCATGGAGCTCCGCAACAGGTTCGTGATGTGTCCTCTAACCAGGAACCGCGCGACCATGGACCTGGTGCCTACCGACCGGGAGGCTGAGACTAGCATGCTAGTCTACTACGAGCAGCGTGCTACACATGCGGGTAAGCAAGCGTTCGTGTCCTCCAGGCTTCCACAGCATCAAGCAGAGCATCAGTAGGGGTACAGCAGTTGTATTGCTTTTGGGCGGGGCGCCACCTCTCCCGGGAAGGGCGCAAGATTCAGCCCAACGGCCTCTTTGTCCCTTTGTTCCGGTCGTTGTCGCTGGGGTTCATGCACTTCACTCAGAACCATGTTATTCACAAATTGTGGTGTTGACGCTGACGAATCCAAAAGTCGCGAGAAAACCATCGACAAGCACACCGGCATCTTCAGCACAAAAAAATACCCCAAGGCAGATTTTTTTCGCTTCCGCCTCTTCAGGCATGGACAGATATATACGGGCCGACATAAACGATTCCCGCGCATCTCGCAAGTTTTTCCGTGAGATACATGGATGGGTAGTCTTTCTGTGTGTGTATTTATTATTCCTTAATATATACCAGACCGTTGATCATCACTTCAGCAACGACGTATGTATCCTTCCTTCGCCTTGTCGATGTGATGTGGTAGTCGTTGGCTCTTCGTGGTTAGGTCTGACTGACTGAGCAAGATACTGCTTTGGTCTGGAAAATTCTTGGCTCGCGCGTTGGTTCCACTACTACAGAGTACACCCAAAGACATGCCTAAGCACGGTGGGGTGTTTGGGCCGAAGAATTAGCGGTGCGACTACATATATATGCGAAACAAAAGAGAACCATCAGGATAACGGAGAATGTATTTGATGGTGCCCGCGGGCAATTTTTTTGGTCTATGTCCCGTGTGCACCAATGGGAGGAGATAATCACCCTTCCTTTTTGTTTGTAATGAGAGTTGACCCCCTTAGAATCAATCGCCTGCAGGCTGTGTGGAACTCTCTTGTCCGACCACGGATGCAGGTTATTGTGGCTTTCCTTTGTTATCTCCTCGTGAGAAAGGCTTTCCCGTTGTCTTCCAACGCAACCCAAGCCAACGCACACGGATCCCAAGCCGCACGACCAAACCCGATCGCACGCACACACGCACACATTCCTCGGCATGCAAGACTCGAGCTTTATGTCGACTCGGCATCAAGCCCGAGTCTTGCATGACGTCACTTAATAGCATCTGATGACGCCAAATAGAAGTAAGTACCAAATTTCCATGGTCAAGCATGACCACACGTCTACCTCCAAATACTATTAACATGTAGGTATCTTCACATTAAAAAACCGTTCCTTTCTCTCTATCGAGTACCTTCGTCTGTCCGTACTAGTCTAACACTTGACGCGGTCGATTCCCGTAGTCACAGGCTAACTTACCCAAAAAAGGTACCCTCAAATAAACTGGAATACTAAAGTATA